TTGAAACAAGTAATAGTAGAGTTCAGAGTGGTAACGACCCCAAGTTCAAAGGCAAGGCTGTTTTGGTTTTTTTGGGGTGGGGTTTTTTTGCGTGGTTTGGTAGCTGGAAGATGACAGCTTACCCACTTACGCATTTCCGAATGACATTGCAATGAGGTTATTAGCTATGCTGGACTAGTACAGACTTGCTTGCATTGGCACTGTTTCCCAGTGTTAAAATAATTCTTCCTGGGTTCTTCCTGAATAAGAGCCTGTCTGTACAAGAGCATTTAGCCATAACACTGTAATTTAATGGCCTTTTCTATGCATCTATGCACTGACGGTTTTGAGTTGTCACTGTAACAGGAGGCTTTGGAAAGTAAGAGCCTTCCACCAAGTCCATCCCAGGCTGCCTGTATTGCCTCCTCGTTGATCTGGCAGGGGGAGGAGCTGTTGGCATTAGACATCAAAGACTCAGAGTTTCTAGCAGTTGACTCTCGGTGGGCCCTGAACAGCAAAAATGCGTGTTCCGTAGAAACAGATGTAATTTAACAGCATTATTTATGCATTTATTGCAGCCAAATAAGCCTGTTCAATATAACAACACGTTGTGGTAAGATGTGATAAGCTTTTGTCCCCTTTAACATAGGTACGTTGCTCTCCCTCCCTCTCAGGTGACAGCGTTTCCTTAGGAGACACGGATGACCTTCTGAAGCGAGCTCCCTCCAACGCCGGCAGACGGCCCAGTTCCGTCGACACGGTTGCAACAGAGCCCTGGCTGCGACCGGGAACGTCGGAGACGTTCCAAAGGCTCATGGCTGAACAGTCAAGCCCAACAAAGCTTTCACCCGAAAACACGCTACCGCTGAGCTGGCACGGCCTCTCAACCGCGCACGGCTGACTCGAGCCCCGCCGTGAACCGGCTGCGCCGTGCGGCAGAGGAGGGGCTGTTCAGCACTACTGCACTTTCCAGGGTCTCTTGTAGGGATCGGTCTCTTCCGTGTACATAGTGTGGAGCTGTACGTGTCATTTGAAATAGCAATAATAAAGTAACAGAAGCTGCAGTGGAATGGAGATGTAGAGCAGGGACGGTTTATATTGCATGATGTGGGAAGTGGAGTAATAGCTTGGCAGTTTTTGCACTTTTTATACAAGTTTCAGCCTCAGAGCTGGACTTTGTGGTACAAAACCAGAGTGTGTCTGTGTGTGAATTTGATATTAAATCAAAGTTAATTTTTAGCTTTGTTTATAGCCAAACTCCCAAACTGTCTGGAAATAGAGTAACCCAACAGCAGAGGCGCGTTTTAAGCTTTTACCAAAAGAGTAAATAACTTGGAGAAGGGCACTTGCTTTTCATACAGTGATGAGTGCTATCCTGCATGAAAGCTCAGCAAACAGTTTCATGGAAAAATGACTATTAGCAATGTTTCCTAACCCGTTATGTGCTGGAAATACAGATATTGATGCATATATTTAATTTATGGTTCTGATTTAAGGGTTAATAAATTATTTTGTTACTAAAACTGTGAAAGCAGACTTCGATTTTCTTAATCTATTTGCTTCAGCTTACATTTATTCATGAACAAACTAGAACCTTAAGGCTGTCTTCAAAGAAGCAGGAAAATCCCATTGGAAAAGTTGCTGAAGAGCAAGAAGGATGCAAGATTTTAGGAGTTCAGTGAACTGAAACACCAAGGTGAAGCAAGGGTAAGGCCATGACTTTCCTCTTGGTTAGGAATGCCCACCCAGAGGCCAAAGCTTGACAAGGCAGGCAAATTAAACCAATTTGTAAAAATGTTTTTTACTAAAATGCCACAGCGGTTCTGTGATGATGGCAGGCAAGAGATGCTTGTGGAGAGACATGTACTTGTGCTGCACTTAGCTGCTTCATGGGTTTAACATGTTCCTTCCCACAGAGAAGTGACAAATCAGGCTAATTCTTACCCCGAGTTTCTGGCTCATCAGCTAAAAGGCTTACCAGGTTCAGCA